CCAAACATTTAGATATAAAGGCTGCCTTGGCTAGTTAATAGATACTAGCCTTATTTAGCTCTATACTTCCTGATATAGGCAACGTTTTCACTGACTTCCTAACTTCATTCCTACCACTATTGTATGTAAAATTTAACATTGTGTAATTGCAGAATGAACAAAACAGTAGCGATTCTTGCCATAATTGGCACTGTTACCCTCGCCCAATTCGGGATGGACAACTTCCCTGAACGAGGAGGCCCAGGTGGCCCAGGAGGACCAGGCGGACGAAGAGGCCCAGGAGATAGGTGGGGCCCTGGTGGTCCAGGAGGACGAGGTGGTCATCACCCTCATGGGCCTCCACCACCACCGTATCTTCGAAATGTGAGCGACTCCGCCAGACAAGAGTATTTCTCGATTGTGAAAAATATGACTTTAACTATTGCTCAGCAAAAGGAAGAGATTAATGCATGGGGAGAAAGAAATGGAATTGCGGTGAGTTCACGTTTGCCTGTTGAAGAGGCTCTTTTTGAAATTTATTCTTATAGGACCAAGTTGCTGAATTTAACGCTAATATGACAAGGTTCAAGCAAGAAATTAGACAAAATGTTACTCAGTTGGTCTCTGAGCTTCCTCAAGCAATACAGAGAGTCTCCGAGATAATGGATAACGAAGATCAAACTCCCAGACAGCTTTTCGAAGCTCTCAGAAATCTTACTGAAGAAAATCCACGTGTAAGTTGCAGAGTAGGGAAGGCAAGCTGCGCAAGTATAATAGCCCAATTTAGCTCTACAATATTGCCAAGTTCGCTACTGAAGCGTTCATGAGAAGACCACATGGACCACACGGGGGCCCAGGCGGACGAGGAGGACCAGGTGGAATGCCACCACCACCGTTCGGTGGACCCGACACTGATTTTGGAGCACCAGATTTTGGAAGACCAGAATTTCAGCAAAACAACGGTTTCGGAAGCCAAAGAGGCATGAACGGTTTTCAAGGTACTCATAAACTGTTTGGAGCTCAAAGCAGAGTTTGTCAACAATATCTTGATCTTTAGGACAATTTAATCGTGGATTCAGAGGAGCTCGGGTTTGAACAATTGCCATTTCAAATTGATATCATACAGTGATCATTCTTTAAATGTACTTTTCAAGCAAATTGAACCTTGTTAAGTCCATTTCGCTCATTTGCCGACATTGTAAACTAATAAAGAATACGAAGTAGTGTTCTGTTTTTCTACATA